CTTTGTGTCGGGGAAGAGATCATAGTTGTCGATTTTCGAAAGAAATCAGTACATGTATATTATTTCGTATATTTTTCATTTTATTGATTTTATGGAAAGCACTGTTCATTAAAATGTTGTATCTTATGTTATAGGGCTTGTTTCTCTCTACAATTTCCTGTCTCACAATGTACCGTTTGTGTCGGGGAAGGGATCATAGTTTCATAGTTGTCGATTTTCGAAAGAAATCAGTACATGTACATATATTATTTCGTATATTTTTCATTTTATTGATTTTCTGGAAAGCACTGTTCATTAAAATGTTGTATCCTATGTTATAGGGCTTGGTTTGGTTTGGTTTGGGGACAATTTCTTGTCTCACAATGTACCGTTTGTGTCGGGGAAGAGATCATAGTTGTCGATTTTCGAAAGAAATCAGTACATGTATATTATTTCGTATATTTTACATTTTATTGATTTTATGGAAAGCACTGTTCATTAAAATGTTGTATCTTATGTTATAGGGCTTGTTTCTCTCTACAATTTCCTGTCTCACAATGTACCCTTTGTGTCGGGGAAGGGATCATAGTTTCATAGTTGTCGATTTTCGAAAGAAATCAGTACATGTATATTATTTCGTATATTTTTCATTTTATTGATTTTATGGAAAGCACTGTTCATTAAAATGTTGTATCTTATGTTATAGGGCTTGTTTCTCTCTACAATTTCCTGTCTCACAATGTACCGTTTGTGTCGGGGAAGGGATCATAGTTTCATAGTTGTCGATTTTCGAAAGAAATCAGTACATGTACATATATTATTTCGTATATTTTTCATTTTATTGATTTTATGGAAAGCACTGTTCATTAAAATGTTGTATCCTATGTTATAGGGCTTGTTTCTCTCTACAATTTCCTGTCTCACAATGTACCCTTTGTGTCGGGGAAGAGATCATAGTTGTCGATTTTCGAAAGAAATCAGTACATGTATATTATTTCGTATATTTTTCATTTTACTGATTTTATGGAAAGCACTGTTCATTAAAATGTTGTATCTTATGTTATAGGACTTGTTTCTCTACAATTTCTTGTCTCACAATGTACCGTTTGTGTCGGGGATCATAGTTTCATAGTTGTCGATTTTCGAAAGAAATCAGTACATGTATATTATTTCGTATATTTTTCATTTTATTGATTTTATGGAAAGCACTGTTCACTAAAATGTTGTATCCTATGTTATAGGGCTTGTTTCCTGTCTCACAATGTACCGTTTGTGTCGGGGAAGGGATCATAGTTTCATAGTTGTCGATTTTCGAAAGAAATCAGTACATGTATATTATTTCGTATATTTTTCATTTTATTGATTTTATGGAAAGCACTGTTCACTAAAATGTTGTATCCTATGTTATAGAGCTTGTTTCCTGTCTCACAATGTACCGTTTGTGTCGGGGAAGGGATCATAGTTTCATAGTTGTCGATTTTCGAAAGAAATCAGTACATGTATATTATTTCATATATTTTTCATTTTATTGATTTTATGGAAAGCACTGTTTTATTGATTTTATGGAAAGCACAATTAAAATGTTGTATCCTATGTTATAGGGCTTGTTTCTCTCTACAAGTTGCTGTCTCACAATGTACCGTTTGTGTCCGGGAAGGGTTCAGAGTTTCATAGTTGTCGATTTTCGAAAGAAATCAGTACATGTACCGTATGATCGAGAAAAAACGGCGTCAGCCATGGCTATGAAATGTAGATCGCTGTCATTTTATATGTAAATTTATATGGAAAATGTCATCGATCGTCATTTCCCAGCCAACTGGACGCCGTTTTTTTTCGATCATACGGTATATTAATTAAGTTTTATGTAAAACTGGCTAGGTATTTTTATACAAATGATGAAGAAAATTAAAGACAAAGAACTCTATAACTATTATCCAGATAGATAACAGAAAAATTAAAATAATTTTTCAATAAGGAAGATGACAGCACATTTTTGAAAATAATCATAAACAAAAAAAATCACGAACGAAACGGAGCAGCCTTTGAAAACAATACACATTTTTAGTTAGAAATACACACAGAGATCATTATAACAGTAAATCTAAGACAGTTATTTGTTAAAAAGATAATATTGTTTTGTCTAATATAATGGAAACTTGACCTCGATTCAGATTTGGCAACAATACCCGGCCATTTTTTCGTGCGATTTTTATTTTTGTTGTTCTTGCTAATTAAACAATTGCAGTTCAATTCGCAAATAAATTAACGTCAAGACAATAGAAAGCAAATTAACTAGGTACCAACACACTGGCTTGTGAAAAATCCTAGATATTATATTTATCTAAATTTTATTTATGTACATATTTAACGGCAAATTACAGTGATTTTATCTGCGTCAGTGAGGTAAGAAGCTCTTAACTCACTCATTTTTAGTGAATTAAGAGCTTCTTAACTAACGCATTTTCATTACTGGATGGATTACTAAATTGGAAAAGAATGTTATGAGTACCTTTTCATTTCCATAGTTTTATAATTGTTGTAATTTATTAGGTAATCTAAAGGATAAAACACCTCCACTGGAAAGGTCGGGTATTTATGAAATTTCTTGTAAAGATTATAATCAGAAATAATTTGGGCAAACTAGAAGATTAACTAGATTTAAAGAACATTTAGCTGAGATAAGATATGGTAGACCGGATAAATCTTGCTTTGCCGAACATATTGTTGATAAAGAACATTGTATAGATCTTAATAATTTAAAATTAATTAAACAAGTCTCAAATTACAGGCAATTAGATGCATATGAAAGCATCAGAATTAATAAATGTAAAGATAGTATGAACAGAGACAACGGTCCAATTCCTTCAAGTTCTTTGTTCCTACTACTCTAGTGGCGGAAATCTAACTGTTACGCTCAGTGGGCTCTGACTCGGTTGGTTAGATTTTGCCACGCCCACTCGGTGCCCACTGGGCGAGTATATAAACGCTCAACTTGTAGATTGTACTTTAGTTTATAATCATCTGCTGATGATGCTAACATGGTTAGCGAAACGCGCGTCCAGTGTAAAAGTAAAAGTGGTGTATTTGGTGTATTGTGGTGATTTAGTGTTTTTATTTTGCTGTGTAACACCAAAGGTTCCAACCCTCAACTGTAATATTTCTCCTTTCTTATGGTCCTCTAGTTACTTATGAGCACCAGTCAAGGTACAAGATAACAGTCAAATGAAGTTGTCATTTCAGAAATTTATCTATTTAGTGCTTTATTATTATTATTAAAAACTCATACCTACATCGAAAATATTAGCCATGAATTACACTACCGAAGAAAAAGTATTGATGATTAAAAGGTATTATCAAGGAAATACTTATCGAAAGGTGTCGGACATGTTTGTTGCTCTGTATCCCAATATACCGATACCTGGAAAATCTACAATCGCAAGGAATATCCAGAGATTTGAGACCAAAGGTACCCTAATAAATAACTGCAGATGGGAAGCAAGACAGAAACAAAGAGAAGATGCAAGAAATGATACCGACTTGGAAGTTTTATTGTGCGTGGAAGAGAACGATGGAAAGATCAGCACAAGGAAACTTGGGGATGAAATAGGAATAGATCACACTACAGCGTTTCGAATTTTGAAACGACATAAATACTATTCCTTCAAATACGAAAAGCACCAAGAGCTACGAGATGTGGACGAAATACGGCGGCAGGCGTTTTGTTTTGATATGATGGAAAGAGCAAACACGGATAGGGAATTTTTAAAAAACATATGTTTCACTGACGAATGCACGTTTACCTTAAATAATGAACCCAAAGTTCAAAATTATCGATATTGGAACAAAGAAAACCAACACAGGTTTGTCGAAACAAGGACGCAATATCCACAGAAAGTAAATGTTTGGGCAGGGATATTCGGACACAATATTATCGGGCCATTATATCTTATTGCGAAATTTAAATGCAGAATATTATTTGGAACTACTCGAAAATCATATTTTACCTGCTTTACATGATGCCGCTAGGGAAAATCAGGAAGTTTGGTACCAAATGGATGGCTGCCCGGCACATAGTACCCTGGCTGTTCGGGAATATTTAGACAATAGTTTTAACGGAAACGTTATTGGCCTAAATCATACAGTAAATTGGCCAGTAAGGTCTCCTGATATTTCGCCAAATGATTTCTTTCTCTGGGGCCATTTAAAAAACAGGATATACAAGGATAAAAAATACCCAAATCTAGACGAAATAAAAAATGCTATTTCTACCGAATGCAATAGAATTTCAGTTTACCAACTAGCGAATGTAAGAAGAGAATTTTATGATCGCCTGGGTTATTGTCTAGCAGTAGATGGAGAAATATTTGAACATCTTAAATCCTAAAGTTCTAACAATTTAATAGTACCCTTGTATATGAATAGTACCTAAATTAATAAGTTATTGAATATTGTAATATTATAATTAGCCTTGTAATTGATTACTTTATTTTACTTTAATTCATATTAATTTGTATTTATAAATACATCTTTAAGATTTCCGATGTAGGAATAAGTTTTCAATAATAAAAAGCACTAAATAGGTAAATTTAATTTGACAGTTATCTTTTACCTTGACTGGTGCTCATAAGTAAATACAGGGCCATAAGAAAGGAGAAATATTTAAAAAGAAATCGGCGATAACTCGTAAACGAGCTAATCAAAAATGTCTAAAGTTATTCTTTTGAATGTGGGTTTTAGTGCTCTTCAATAAACCTAAATAGAATTATTCTCTAAAATAATTAGGAAAGCCAATAATTGACCCCATTAAAATTTACATGGGATTTCCTATGTCCCGTCCGACGATGCAACACCCGGTATAGTTAAGTACAATAATTTTTAAAATTCATTGTGTGTTTTATAGTTAGATGTAGATAAAATATTGTACAATACACGCGAATTAACTCAATTAAGATACTTGTGCGGTACTTTCACACATGTATCTTAACGCCCTGTATAGTGCAAATTTCTGCATTTCGACTTACCTTAACTTTGTCAGTTCTTGGACATGTTTAGTAAGTTTTATTTGACTTTCCAAATCCGGTAAGTGTCTATTGATTGAGAGAACGGCGCTAGAGTAGTTGACATGATGGGTAAATTTACATTTGAAATCTTCTGGAGGTCCGCAGTGGAACAAATAACAACTACCAGAATTCTGGAAATTATAAACAAGATTTTTTATACATAATAAATGACTTTTCACAAATTCTTTATATTTTTGAGGTTGCCCGTTATTATCAAAATATATTTTTAAAAATATTCAATACTAAAATCATTAACAGTTTGAAACTATTAGGTGCATTTGTTTTTGTGCTTTGACATTGTTTGTATCATTTTCGGATTGACTTGTAAAACAGTGTTGAATATACTAAAGTTCTTTATTTTATAATTTTTTCTGGAATTTTTGGAATACCTCTTTGGAATACGTTTATTTCGAAGTTTTGCCATTGCCAAGTAGGTGCAACATGCACAAACACAAACCACACATTTTTTAATATACAGGTGTTCAAAAAAGTTCGTATAAATACATGTCCTACAATGCTTAGTTTCGGAGATACAGGGTGTAGAAGTATCATTTTCATTTCGATTTTTTTCAATTAATTTCTGAAGTGCCGTCAATATTTGGATGAAAATTGGTTTCTGGGAGTTTTTTGACATGAGAAATTTGATTTTGAAGTCAATATGACTCCTATTTGTAGGGGGCGCCACCTAAATGTGTTTTAACTGTTTTGAAGAGTAATAACTTGCCGTCCGTACCTGTATAAAGTTACTGAGTGAGAAAAATATACATTTCCGTGAATTTCTGCGTAAAAAATGTCTCTTTTTTAAAATACACTACTACGAGCAACCGTTCTCAAGATATTTAGAATTGAAATAGTCAATACATGTCATTATTGACAAAAAACATGTTGAGTAGATAGTTATTTGACTGAAATGATAAATTTAGGAACTTTTTTTTAATTATTCATAAGTTTTTTTAGATAAAAATGATGATAAAACAGTTTCTGTTGAACTTTTGGCACAAAAACATTTCAAATGTATGGTTTCAGTCTAATAACTATTTAGTCAACATGCTTAATTTATGTCAATGATGACAGGTATTGATAATTTCGATTCAAAATATCTCGAGAACCATCACTCGTAGCGATTTTTACCAAGAGACCTTTTTTACGTAAAAAACGTCTTAAGGTGTGTATTCATTATCCGAACGGGGGGGAACGGGAACGGACCGAAACGGTATATGATTTGGGACCGAACGCATGCGGCCGTTCGTTCGGTCGTGCGCTCGACCATCCGCTTCGAGTCGGTACATCAAAGGCGTTCGCCTGCGTGCGCTTTCAGATTTAAGGTGCGTATTCATTATCCGAACGAACGAACGAACGAACGAACGAATGAAAGTGCGGTATATTTAGACGGGGACGGAACGCATGCGGCCGTTCGTTCGTTCATGCGCTCGACCATCCGCTTCGAGTCGGTACATCAAAGGCGTTTAGACGTCATGGTACAAAGAATACAAGGTATGATCGATAGCGGCTCCAATTTCGTTCAGTTCGCGCATACCACCTGTGACGTCACTAGGAAAATAATGAATAAATTAAAAATAAAGAAAGTTGACAGGAGATCTGCATTTTTGAGGTTATGGTTAAGAATTGTTTATTTTTAAGACTTTTTAGTTCGTTTAATTTAATAATTACTAAAACCAGCAGTTCCAAAATATATTTAAAATAATAATTATCTATTAACATGGATTTGGACGATAATAGGTAAAATACTAAATTTATTTCTATATTCGGTATAAAATTGTTTATTAGTTTGCGATGTTTATGGTAAATAATTTTCATTTTTATTGCCTCTGAATTCACATGAGGACAGAGATGAGGATATCTATGGAAAAGTAACCACAAGAGGAATTGTTACATCATTTAAAAAATGTTGGGAAGTTTATTGTTTCCCATCGAAAAGTAGAAAATGCCAATGCAGATGAACGTATTGTAATTGTGATAGAAGTAATTCCAAGGGTGAAGTTTATTATAATTAGTGGAAGTAATACTAAGGGTGAAGTTTATTATAATTAGTGACCTGTGCTTCTTTTTATATGTAGATGTTTCTGGTTTTGAGAATAAATCGGTTGAACCACACCCAAAATTTAAAGGAAGTATTTGCATACCCAGAATATGCCCATCAAGGGTTATATAGCTCAAATTTCCTTTAATGGTAGGCAATTATTCAATGCAAATTAACTTTTTAAGCGACTGAAATATTAAATAGTTTACAATATGGTATATCACTAAAAATATATTACTTTTTAGGTACAATTAGGGCCCGATACATTTCAAAAAGTAGAATATTATTTTATATTAAATGAGGTATTGTACTAACAATCAATTTATATTAATAACGGAGATTAAAAATAACAGAATAAATAGTTCTTTTTCTTATACTACAAAAAAAATAAACTATAGAATACAACAGTATTTAAAAAAAAATAAATAAAAAGTGATGTCCCGGCCGAGATTCGAACTCCGGTCTCTCGCTTCCTAGCCCGACTCCTTATGCACTGCTCCATAGTAACTTGCTTAGCGATAATTCAATGACGGTATATAAACAAAAAAAAACAGGTTTATAACAATATCTTGACGATTTGAACTGGCGCGCGAATGAAGAAATGCGTGCGGTCTTCTCGTGCGGTTCTATCGTGCGGTCCCCGTCCATACCACTAGCGAACATTCGTTCGTTCGTTCGTTCGTTCGTTCGTGCGGATAATGAATACGCACCTTTATGTGTATATTTTCTTACTCAGTAGTTTTATACAGGTACGGACGAAAAGTTATTACTCTTGAAACCAGTTAAAAATATGTAGGTGGCGCCCTCTACAAGTAGGAGTCATATTGACATAAAAATCAAATTTCTCATGTCAAAAAACTTCCAGACGCCAATTTTCATTCAAATATTGCCTTTACTTCAGAAATTATTTGGAGAAACTCGTAATAAAAATGAAATTTCTACAGCCTGTATCTCCTAAACTAAGCATTTTAGGACATACATTTATACAAACTTTTTTAATTCAGGAATACAGTTCGGACCACCCTATACATATACAAATACAGAGTGGTCAGAACTATATAGAATTAGTTCGATTAATAATTCTATTTTTTTATGCAAATTATAAATAGATTTTCTTTGTCAACTTGCCTTCTCTTCAAAAACAAATACGTCGCAATCCTCAGTCTCGCAACATAATCTCAAGCATTCTTCCCTAGACCCCAAATCGATCTCATTGAGATACTTGGCACCCATGTTCTGCGAATCTTGCGTTCTGATGATCTTGTCCCTGTGCACATTGAAATTGTCTATGCAAGTTTGCAGGTCGATCTCCGATCTCTTGGACCTCGTCGATATCGTTTGCTCGAACACCATGGAACATAGTATCGTGTACCAAGCCAACAACTTGTATTTGGTAATATTAGTGGGCGATATCCAGATCATTTTGGAAAACCGGTTAACTCGACTTATATCACGGACGGTTTTAAAAGAATTACTAGAATCATAACTAAGAGAAAAATGACCTGATTTATACGATTATTACACGAGAAATAGACGTGGAAAATAGAAAAGCGTTATGGCAGCGAAAACAGCTGATAACAGAAACAAGAAATTATTAGTGCGTTGTCTTTATCTAATTTGTACTGGTGAGAGTAAGAGGAAATAATACGCGGGGTGGTGTGAAAAGGAAAAACTCAGATCGATAGTGCGGATTTTGCGCAAATTTTCCCGGATGATTTTGTACTCTGGTGTGTCTTTAGTCCAAGAGCTCCTGTTCCACAAAACACATACACAAGAAGTGCGAGCGCCTTGCTAAATATTGGAAAGTGAAATTGACGTTTAAATTTGACACTGTTGACAAGTCTACTGCTACTAGCGCCCCCAATTTCGCTTGTAGGAACTACGGACTAAATTGTCACGCATGGCGGGAAGTTTAAAAAATAAAAAAATTATTTTTCATTCATTTTAATTATGACATACACAAAAACACAAAAAATACAATCATTTTAAAAAATATGTTTAATATCAATATCAAATATACAACAGAAATTAATTTCACCACAATAAATTAATAAAATTAAAAGAATAATGTTACAAGTAGATCAAGAGTCAAAATTAATCATAACAAAACTGAAAAAAATGGCGTCATAGATGGCTTAGAAATAAAAGATATATCATAATTTTGAAAGTAAAATTATATGGGAAATGTCTTCGATCATCATTTTTAAGCCAACTGGACGATTATATCAAACATACAAGCTGAGTTCGATATATAGTGCTCTGAGAAATCTAGATAAACAAAGAATAATAAATTGTGTGAATTCTAGGGGAAAAGAGAGGAAAAATCTGTATCGTCTCTGATATCTGTCAGGGGTATGTTGAAAGTGTCATCTTTTTGCTCGAAGTTTTCAGGTCGATCAAAAGATGACATTTTACAACAATACTTTGCTGTAACTTTCACAAATATCAGAGAGAGTACATACAGGTATTGGCCTCTTCTTTTCCTCTGGGATGCTTTATATCTGTTGTTCTTTGTTTATATATATTTCTCAGAGCATAATGCCGAACACAGACTACAGTATATAATAATTTCAATATCCGAAGTGGAAAGAAAAAGATCACCTTTCTGTTTTGTACTATGGTCCCTTTCTTCCGATGGCTCATCTCGTTGATATTTAGGAAGGATAAATAGGAAGGAAAATATAAAATTCAATTTGATTTGATGATCCTTTTCTGTCACCTAAAATCAGGAGAACGACAATGAGCATGTTAAGATGAAAAAAAAAAATTATCAACACTTACTTGCACGTTAGTCCGAGGAGTTTTATTAAAAACCTATATTTGCCTAAATAATTTATGTATTACATTTGCAAAGCAAAATGCAGCGTGTAAACAAAAGAAATAAAATGGCGACAAGTCAACGTCAACGACCCGACAAGGAGAAAAGTGGTGTTCGAATAACAAATTATGGGTCACCAAAAATTGTTTTTGTCTCCTTTCAACGCACACTTTAGAAAGAAAAAGAGATGAACTGGAATACGGAAAGAACGTCAAGGCTTTATCTGTCACTCTTGTCAATAATTTATCGGTAAGGAAGATTCCTAGAAAATCGCTTGTAGTCAAGTTTTGAACCATTGCCAGTTCTCCCATAAGAAGTGTCATCCACCTGTCCTGTTCAGTTTTGCTATATTTCTACAAATTAAGGAGCACTATTTTGAAACATTTTCATCATCATTGTAACATGCGACAGAGAAAAATATAAATGACGACAGGTTGACAGACAAAGAGACAAAATAAAAAGCGGCATTCAGTATTGCCGGTTTTTACGTGTGTAGACAGGGATACTGGGTCCAGCAATAGTGCGTTGCGTCGGGCAAAAAAAAAACTTGATAATTTTGTTTAGATGTAAATCTAAAGTATGTACGAGGATGGGGGGGGGGGTATTTCAGGAAAATATTTTAACTCCTATAGGATGGCTCAAAAAAGTGTGCGTGGATCGGCATGATTTTTTTTAAAGGGAACAACCTGTATATTATTGCATTTTTGGCTTTCTTTCAGGTCACTTTACATAATCCTAAGATATGAGTAAACATTTTCGATAGTTTTAGAGATACTAATAAATAAATAAAAAATATTTATTTTTCAGTCTTTCTTAAAAAAATATTAAAAATACAAAAACTGTCCCGAAATAAAAACTATATTGATTGTATTTACTTGGATAGTCTGTACTTACTTTCCTATAAATATGGTAATCGTAAATCATACAGGATGTTCAAAATTCTACGCCAAACTTTCTAAAATATAAAATAATTTTTTTAAATTATACTTATCAATAAATCATTGTTCCAATTGAGTAATAATACACTGATAAAAAAGATAGATTTGAACTAAAGTCGTCATCGTTCTTGAAAAAAAAATTAGTGGCAAGAGAATTTATTTTAGCGTAAAAGAAAATATTTTGCCTGAAGAAAAACTCTCTTAACTCAAGAAAACTGGTTCTCTTGAAAAATTCGAAAATTTCTTTTGAATCTATTTTCATTCAACCAAGTGCAAGTTACTTTGCTTTAAGATAATAAGAAAAATACGCTCGGAAGTACTTCATTCAAGAAACATGGTCATTTTTCCAATAGCTAAATACTCTTTTGATGAAAAATAATAACAACACGCAAAGACGATGACGAAGGACGGTATATACAATCAGTCGGCAGTCCGATCAGTCGTACGTCGCATTTCATAGGTCGCACATCATAGTACGCACGGGTTTTGTTGCTTGGAATTTTTCACTTGGAATTTTGCATAATTTGCTTTTTAAACGCATATCGTATAACAAATTAGTGATCGTTATTAACATGCATTTGTCATTTTTTATGGACAAATTTTAGGATATATGGATTCTTTAAAGGAGTTTCTGAAAAAATGGAAATTAGAGCATTTATTTGCTATAGGTATTTGAAGGTAAGAGACATTTACCTAATGCACCTGTTTAGATAATGCATGTGTGACTATAGATAGAATAAGAATATACAGTACGTCTGTCCGTTCTGTAGCTACGGGGTATCCGTGAGAGGGGAAACGATATTCTCTCACTGTTTTTCGTAAAAAATTAGACGACGCGTCCCATCAATTAAAAATTCGACAAATTTGCAAGTAGCCATGGGCGGAGCGATTTGCGGTGACGTACTCGTCAAGTCGACGTATAAAATATATTGCTGTTTATTTAAATGTTTTTTGTCCGCATTCCTTTCATAGACACAGATCCATGGGCGCCGGAAGAATGAAATTTAGGGGGGGGGGGGCAAGGTAAAAATGAATAAAAAATTGACATTTTTGGTAATTATTGGGAAAACTGGAAATCGTCCGATTTTCACCAAAATTGGTATACACCCTATTTTGAAGTCGTAGATTACGAATCTGAACTTTTTTCTTGGCGGTCTCTTACCGTTTCAGAAAAACGGAAAATAATTTCAATATCGAATTTTTCTTAATTTCTCATATTTTAAAGGTTTTCTAGCACATATTTTGTTAGGTATTCAATAATCAATAATGTTTTTGCTATTTTCTGTTACTTTTTTAACCAATTCTGTACATACTAGAGGAAAATTTGCTAAAATAAATTTGTAAACAATCTGAAAAATGTTAGATTATAGCTTTTGTTCGGTTCTTATATAGCCGATTTCTGAATCGTCCAAGAATCTGCAGCGCATGCGCAAATGAAATAATGTCTTCATATTTCCTTCTGCGCATACGCATCACAGTTCTAGGACGGTTCAGAATCGGTAATAAGAGAAACCCGAAGTAAGTTTATGTGTTTCTGGCATTTAAAGCAACGTTGCCAATGCTAAACCTAAATTTAGCGTGTTTTTTTCGCTCATTCTGGAATTACGAAAGGCGGTCGCCAGAAGAACGGCTCCTTTTCATAACTGCTATTTTACCAACGAGATCTGACTATTTATACCATCGAAGTTAGCCTCGAAAGAGTTTTTGATTGCATTGTCTACACTTCATGGTGAGGGTGTTAATCTTTTGTTGTTATATTATTAGATTAACTAAAAAAAGATTAACCCCCTCCGCAAAGAAGTTAAAACCAATGCAGTCAAAACTCTTCCGCGTAATTTTGTGGTTATAGGTGTATATTTAATTATTGTCGATCTCATAATAGGTAATTTATTGAAAATCCGTAATCACCCGAAAAAATAGAAGATATGGCAACGTTGTAAATTTTCAAATTTCTAGATAAGGTCTAGAATATATTTGTCTCTCTTATTACATAGGAGAGAGAAAGAAGGATATATCAAATATCAAACTTCCATCTGGTCTCAATTTTCTTTGCTATTTTGTTAAGAAAAGTGTTTTTCAGTAAAATGTTGGATTCTTTTCTATCCCCAATCAAGTGTGGCTTTTAGATAAACTATAATAAAATGAAAATATAGTGAAATTATTACTTTATAGGGCCGAAATAAAGAAAAAATCAATGTTGAAATAATTTTCCGTTTTTCTGAAAAACGGTAAGAGACCGCCAAGAAAAAAATAGATTCGTAATCTACGACCTCAAAATAGTGCGTATAATTAATTTTGGTGAAAATCGGACGATTTCCAGTTTTCCCAATAATTACCACATTTTTTATTATTTTACAGGTAACACCTAACAATTTCATAATAATGATTATTTTTTTACAGATGGATGTAAGAAGATAGCTTTTATTTTTATTGTTTCAGTGATCCAGGGGGGGGGGGCAAATGCCCCCTCCTGCCCCCCCTGTCCGGCGCCCATGCACAGATCCAGCAGACATACTGTAGGTATCGATTTTTTTATGGAAATAATTACAAAAATTTTAGAATTTCAAGTCGTCGTATTAAAAAATTCAAAATGTGACCAAAGCTTATAATTTTAATATAATTTATTTGCTTTACTTTGAAATCGTGATGTAACATTTCTTTGTAATTTGTAGAGTGATGAACCACCCCAAAAAATACCAAGGAGTGAAGAAGCAGATATAACTACTATCGAGGAAAATAATATCACTTTACTTACAATACTACAGACCAGGAAAACCTAAATTTATCAGAAAATAATATACCTCGTAATATGCCTGTACAGTACGTCTGCTGGTTCTGTGTCTATGAAAGGAATGCGGACAAAAAACATTTAAATAAACAACAATATATTTTATACGTCGACTTGACGAGTACGTCACCGCAAATCGCTCCGCCCACTCATTTTATTGGCTACTTGCAAATTTGTCGAATTTTTATTGATGGGACACGTCGTTTAATTTTTTACGAAAAACATGGAGAGAATATCGTTTCCCCTCTCACGGATACCCCGTAGCTACAGAACGGACAGATGTACTGTATATGATGTATAGACTTCTCTTAGATCAAAATAAATTTTAGTTGAGTCAATAGTCAAGAAAAGTGTCTCTTTAATCAAGAAATGTCCCTTTTCAATGAAGAATTTTTGCATGAATCAAAGAGACTATTGGTCTTGTAGCAAGAACCTAATTGCATATTCATTTTGGGTCAAGAGTGAAATACTTTGGACAGATAGATTCTTCTATTCTCTAAAGTATTTTTTTTAAAGCTTATGAAAAGATAATTAATGCTTTGGGCAAAGAAACGTCGTTCTTGGCCCTATTGAAAAGCGCCAATCTTTTGGGTCAAAGTCATATTCATTTCGACTGAGAGATCCTTTTTTTCAGTGTAGCTGAAATATTATAGAGACATGCTTATCATGAAAACTGAAAGTTTATAAATACTGAACTAAGTAGGTACCCGTACTAATATAAATTGATCTGCTCCGAAACTTTAGGGCTTCATAATCCCCTGAGACAGTAAAGGAGAGAAAATTAGATATCTTCAGACAAAATGGTTGACAAAAAAACTGTCTGTGATCTTCTCTTCATTGAAGAACAGAAATAAATGTCATTGAAGTCCCCGAATCGACAGAACATTGATATTGTGCTAATAAATGGGAAAATTAAAATTTCAGGTACTCTCCGACTAACCTCAAGTGATTAACTAGCTTGAAAAATGAATTAGAAAGTTTAATTAAGAAAATATTTTATAACTTAAATGACATAATATTATGGTGGGTATTATTAGAATTTATTTGTAAAATTCCATAAGCACCATGGGAGAAAAAACTGTTTTTTTTTATAAAAATTCTTCAGCACAGGTAATCAATCTCAACAAGGCCCAAATTGCAGATCGCAGACTGTAGTCGACAGTCATCGAATATCCACGGGTCTGTACGATCGTCTTTCAGACCATCTAAACACTGTTGCCACGTTTCCACTGAAAAAATCAGGAATATTCCCTAAAATGTACTATTTATTTAAATTTAATTGGAATAAATAAAAGAAAGGAACCAAAAGAGATTTTCATATTTCGACATTTGACATGTATGATGCATTTGACATACTGCTTTCAAAAAATGTTTTCGTCAAAAATCGCAATTTTTGTGGTCATATAACTAAAGAATCTATGTTACTGACAGTTGTATCTCCTATTTTTTTCTCTTCCAAATTACCTTTCTAATTTTTTACACTTCGCATTTTTTAACTTAAACTCTAAATCAGACAAAGACAAAGACAACAGCTGGATTCGAACCTGCAACCTTGTGTTTACTAGACAGCCTGCTATCATTTCGGCTACAAGGCCAGCTATCTCCCATTTTAATTCACAGAAAAATTGTAATATCTCTCATTTTTTAGATGTCAGCTGTCAAAACCTTCCCTGACTCCTTGGAAAGACTATACTAGTTTAAATTCAAATACTAGCATTTATTTAAGAAACATTCTTTATAAAGCACGCTTTATTATAAATATTTTTGATCATATTGTATTTTTGTACTGAACAATAAAACTGTCGATAGGAAGGTATCATAAATACTGCATAGAAAAATATATATTTGTATAAAAAATGTATTTTTTTTTTCAAACGTCACAAAAGTATTAATTTTTGCAACGTGATTGACAAACGAATTAGAAAGCACAAAAGTATTATACTGATATGAAGTGTCAAATTCAAGCGTAACCATAGTTTCTCGATATACATACAGGGTGTGTCTTAGATAAGTGCAAATATTTTCAGAGCTGGTAGATCTCGATAGAAGAGATATAATTTCTCTTTACCGCTTTTCAAATAAATCTAAAATAACTGAGATACCTATTTTACTTTGAAAATTTAAAAAAAATATTTCTTGCTAAAACGTTGACATCCACTGGATCTTTTCTGGATTTTCTTTCTTGTAAATTTAATCTACTACCTATGTTGCCATATTATCAACAAATTATATTTTTTAACTAAAAACTAAAAAAAATTCCAAAAAATTCCAATTTTCAAATTTTTTTTTTTCAAAAAAACCTCATCACGATTAAGTATGAGGTTTTTTTCTGGGGTCGAAATATATTACTCCTAAAAATATTTGCACTTATTTAAGACTTACCCTGTATAATTACATACAAAATATTACTTTTATTTTTTTTTATATTATTTAGAACATTTGAAATTGCTTAAAAAAATTTTTGTGGTATTTGAAAAAAATAGCATGTTCTATTCGGAGTAAAAATGACTTTTTCGCCTCGCCTATATGTCGTACCTGTCAAACGTACAGCCCTAAAGTGTCATTTTTACTCCTAATAAAACAATATACTATTTTTTTCAAACGTCACAAAGCTATTAATTTTTGCGACGTGATTGACAATATAAAAACGTAATTTTAACGCCTAGGCATCTAGGCATATAATTTGCAATGTTTGCAGTTGTTTAAAAAATTATTTGTGAAGTTTGAAAAAAAAAACATATTCTATTCGGAGAAAAAATTACTTTTGTACCTCGCCTGTGAAAAAAATTCCCATTTTACTTCTAATAAAACAATATACTATTATTTATTTTGAAAAGTGTACAGAAAAATCGAGGATTATCCGACAAATTATTATATATGGCAACAACGTCCTGTAATCTGCTGTTGCCTCAAATCCGTCCTGTGCGCTCGCAGTCGCCGCAGTCTTTCGTTACGTGTTACTTGTTTTATTTTCCGTACATTATTGCAAACCTAGGTAATATTTCAAACCGGACCTCTTTCAAGTTGTTCGCGTTCAGTTTGTGATTCATTTGGTGCTAGGTGCCCTTATAACACCGCCACTTTTCATTCAAAAGTAAGTCCTACCAGTAGAATATTGATTGAGTTCGAAGAAACCGAAATAAATCCAATGTTGTCAGTCCATTCTTACCCTGAAAAAAATAAGGAAATTCAATGTTCCAATGATTCTTTTTAATGCGATAAGTTGAAGTATCTCTTTAGAGCCAGGAAATTATATAGTATTCCTGCTGACGCCGTTGAAAACTATATTTAAATCTTAATTCCATTTGTTCGAATTTTACTGGACATAATAACTATTTATATTTTAACATAATTAGTATAATATTTGTATGGGAGCTTCTTGTTTTGAACTGCAATGACCTCCAGTTCAGAAAAAATCGTCCTTGTATTACGAATTACGACACGTTTAATTTTCCAGAAAAAAAAATACAAAAATAAACATGAGGGAACTTAGGGTATTTTAAAATAACAAAGCGCGTCAATAAGACTGACAGCTAACAGAAGAATCACTTCTGGGAAGTGTAATAGTATAATTTGGTATAATACCATACGCTCGAAAAAAACGGCGTCAGAGGTGGTTTGGAAATGAAGATTGCTGTTATTTTGTATGTAAAATTATATGGGGAATGTCATCGATCGTAATTTTCAAGCCAATTGAACGCCGTTTTTTTTCGATGGTACAGTATAAATTGAAAGCTCTTAACTCATACAAATAAACTTCTAAATTTTGACGGAAAATTCATTGACATAATTGTAGGTATATTTTAGAGCTGTTAATAAAAATATCCAATGAATAACGTCAAAATGTGGCTAAATAAAACCCTTGTATATGATAAAACTAAATCGCGAACGTTTTTATTATAAACTAAGGATGAAGTAAGTATTGTCAAATAACAGTCCTCATATAATGTCCTAAAAATATTCTATAATGCTCCCAACATCATCCTTGTATTATCCTATAAATATCCCAAATAATCGTAAAAGGCTTGCCTAGGGATGTCTTGAAGATGACTTTTTTTGTCCCATCTGGATATCCCCTAAATATCCTCCTCTGGTTTTTGGATATCCCTAAGATATTTACTATATCCTTGGTGGATATCCTCAAGATATCTATAGGATTGTGTTGTGTTTTATGGGTTGTAAAACGTAAATTCGATGTTCTAATGATTCTTTTCAATAAGATAATTTTAAGTACTGCTCTAGAGCCAGGAAATTTTATAGTATTCCTGCTGACGCCGATGAAAACTATATTTAAAACTTAATTTCATCTGTTTGAATTTTACTGGGCATAGCTATAAATAACTATTTACATTAATATTATTAACATAATTAGCATCATATTTGTATGGCAGCTTTTTGTTTTGAACTGCGTTGACCTCGAGTTTAGAAAAATCGTCCTTGTTTATTTATTTATACATCATATTTAATTTTCTGAAAAAAATGCAAAAATAAACAAGGCGGAATTTACGGTACTTTAAAATAACAAAGCGTGCCAAAGACTGACAACTGACAATAGAATGTTTTCTGGGAATGTTCGGCTAGGAGTTCGCAAGATGACGTTTGAAAAATGGAAGATGATATAAATGAAACCTAGGTACGAGGCATGTTTTTTAAGTAAGTACCGTTTTGGAATTAAAAAAAAACGTGCAAAGATATCGCAATAATTTTATTTTTACATGAAAGCCTGTACCTTAATCTACTTTTCTACATAATTTCCGTGAATATTGAGGCACTTGTCATAACGTGGCACCAGTTTTTCAATACCCTCCTTATAAAATTCTGCCGCCTGACTGGTTAACCACTGTATCACAACTGTTTTGACTTCGTTATCGTCTTGAAGACGCTGACCGCCCAGGTGTTTCTTCAAGTGCAGGAATAAATGGTAGTCACTGGGCGCCAGATCAGGGCTGTATGATCTAGAGTTTCCCATTTAAAAGATTTGATGAGATCTTTGGTCCGATTAGCCACATGTGGACGGGCATTGTCATACAGCAAAACAATACCCTTACTCAACTTGCCACGTCTTTTGTTTTGGATTGCACGGCGCAGATTGTTCAATGTCTCACAATAAGATGCTGCATTGATTGTCTCATTACGAGGCAGAAACTCCACTAGCAATACTCCTTTTCTGTCCCAAAAAACTGTGCACATGCTTTTCCGGGCAGAAATTGTTTGTTTAAACTTCACTGTTTTGGGTGATGATGAATGTCGCCATTCCATGGACTGTTGTTTCGATTCTGGTGTGACGTAGGCCACCCATGTTTCGTCACCAGTAACAATTTTGTCTAAAAATCTTCACCTTCATTGTGGTACTGCTCAAGGAAAGTCAATGCACTGCCTAAACGTTGGGTTTTGTGCAAATCCGTCAACATTTTCGGAACCCAACGTGAACACAATTTCCGGTAATTCAAGTTCTCTCACAATGCGATACAAAACACTACGAGAACATTGAGGAAAGTAGTCGCACAATGATGAAATTGTAAAGCGTCTGTTTTCTTTCACCTTTTCGTCCACTTTCTGCACCAAATCTTCATTAACGACCGAAGGACGCCCACCTGTTATTCATCATGCACATTTGTATGACCATCTTTAAATGCTCTCACCCATTCCCTTACCATTCCATCACTCATAATGTTTTGTCCGTAAACTTCACAGATCTCACGATGAATATCGATCGGTTTTACGCCTTTAGCACTAAGAAATCGTATGACAGCCCGTACTTCACAATCGGCGGGGCTCACGATTGTCGGAGGCATCTTAAACACTCAATAAACAACGTATACAATGAAGAATCAGACTGTACTGGCGTCTGTGCATAGACAAGAGATGTAGGTAACCAGCGTCGTATATAGGCGAGGAAATTATTATTAAAAAAGTATTAAAAGTCTTAGAGAAAAAGAAAAATATAATCTACACAGTTAAATAAGAGATGTTTCTTTGGGGAACTCCAAAATATAAATAATTCCACATCGGTATTTGTCTAAACATAACGGATGCTCTCGGTCAAATTTGCAAAATTGCCCAGAGGCGGTTCTAGGAATAGGAATATTTTGATGACCGGTAATTATAATCAACAACATAAATATACGAATATTACAGTTATTTTCCATCCTGAGTTTAGAACTATCGCGAGTGTTTTTTAATTCAATATTAGTAGTTTGTTCTTATGATAATTTATTGTGATTATTACTATTTATATATTATTTCGACCCTCTGGAAACATGCCTATGTTTTTTTTTGCAAAAGAAAATGTCGAAAATTATACATTTTTCCGGGAAATGGGGTTTAAAAAAAGTATCTAAAATCATTGACGAATAAAAAAGTATGCTTTCTTTGTAGTTTTTTTTTTATTTAAATTAAATTTAATTTGTGAAAATATTTCGCACGGCACTGACTATGAACAGTGTGCTTTAGGTATCTCTTCCGTGTTCTAATTATCCAAATGTGTGTTTGAATGTGTGTTTACCCTTTCGTATGTTGTGTAAGTTTATTGAAATTACACAAATGGGTTAATTATGTCTTTGTCCACTTTTGATTTACGATTATTTTTTATAGCATCAAAGTAGATTGTATTAAATAACAATCGACTTGAATAGCTCACAACAGGTAAATTTCTGGTTGTACTTTTCCAAGCGTTTAAATTTAGAAAATTTAAGAACATCAAAAATAAAAATGTTATCTATACTAATATACAGGGTTGTTCACCACATACGACACGGAGTATTGTACCATGGAATATTGACATTTTAGCTTATTTTTAAAGATATAACAAATTTTCAAAGGGTACAGATACTAATATTGTCGATATAGTTCGCTTATTTAATTAAAAAATAAAAAAAAACTGATTAAATATTTTTTTGTTAAAGAGGACCAATTAATAAAATCCCAGTATTCAAACTACATTAATTGACTGTTTACGTTGATTAATAATAATTGCTCCAAATACTATAAAACTGAATTTTGTGTGTGTATTAGACAGTGTGGTAAAAAGTAACACCTTATAAATATTATTTCATTTTTTGACGAATGCTTATTTATAAAAACAGAGACGTTCATTTTCATTATATTGATTTCTGAGCCATATTATGAATACATTTAAAAATATTTTTGTCTTATAACAGAAATTCTAACCATTAACTACAAATATAACTAACGTCAAGAATGAGACAGACGTACTATCATCATCTGTTAAAAAAAATATTAGGCCAATAAGAAATCTTTATAATTTGTATTTTTTTTTATTTTTCAGTATTTTCAGTACTATTTTCAGTTTCTTTTGTATGTTGATTATTGAGGCCAGATTTAGATTATGACTTTTTTTTAAAATTTTGAATATATATTTTTGGAGATTAGACAAAATAAAGTTTAAATAAAGAGCCAAAAAAGGCTATGTGAATCCATCCAGTGACATTCTTACATAAAAACGTTTGAAATTTTGTTTTTTAATACTTTGTATCAGTTACGACATTATTTAATTCAACTATAAATCAGATCCACACATTTTTTTTCTCGTAGACCACTTTTTAATTTTACTGGTTTTGGTGGACCCTACTTTCCCATTAATGGGACCCCATTACGCCACATGCCACGCCACGCCATGTATGTTTTTCCATTTAATTACATGTATTGCGTACACACTAGGCAACACGCCACCCCACGCTATCACACGTGTGATGGGCGATTCGTCTGGCCCAGATCTCATATGTTCACTCTTCACCACGTGGCAACATGTGAGCTCACGCGGGATAGCGTGGCGTGTGGCGTAATGGGGTCCCGGCATTAATCTAATGATGGAAATTTCCGCCGGCGCCGCACAGTGGGCCAGAGATAGCCTTAGCGATTGAAATGGACCCAGAACTTATTTCGTCGAATTTTTTTCTTTCTTATCGCAGACTGATTAAGTATACCATGAAGCATCAGAAAACAATCAAATGAACTCGCTCCGTTGTAATGGTGCGAGTATCAACAATAATTTTGTTAAGTTTGTTGACGCGTCATTTTGTGTTGTTCAATTTATAGAATTTTGCCTGTTAAAACTGGAGCTGTTTTTCAAAG